CATGGAGTTTTATCATGGCTGATCAGCCCTAACACAGTGAGCACTGCCAGTGAATAACACTCATTATCTGGGTATCAGGGCTCCTGCCAGTGCCCCCCCCCTCCCAGTCATCAAGTGGCTGATTGGTGTTTTTTGGTGGTGATTGGTGTCAGCTGTCCCTGTGTGTAATAATGTTTTGGCTGACCGGTGTTTGCAATCTGTTGCTTCACCAGCAGACATTAGTGAATCGTCCACACTGCACCTTTAACCTGTGATAATACTTATTACTTACTTTTATAATCTTACTTGAAACTGAGTTTTCCCGACGTCCCTGAACGTATATACAGAGAAATGTGTTATTTCTCTGTCTGTGAGTGGGAGGAGCTTCTGACCTTCTGTGGGATTCGTCCAAAGGCGGCGGCGATGATGTCAGCGCGCTCTGTTGTGAGGTTGGTTACCATGGAGCCGAAGGACACCACCACCACGCCGGCATCGCCCGAACTCTGTATGAACGCCTCCAGGTCCTGAAAGACGTAACATCATCATCATCATCATCACTGTTTTTTCTTTGTATTGATTCGGAATATTTTAAAATAAAACTTCCTGTCAGTAATCAAAGCCACAGGAAGTGGAGCTTGTGCCTCTGGCAGCTGATTGGCAGGTTTGCAGTGCAGACCGCCCACGTGTTTGAAGTTAGGCGGGATCGGTCGCGGAGTCTCCAGGTCCCAGAAGGTCCTGATGAGCCAGATGTCAGCGTTCCCCAGAGTCCTGCAGACACTGCTTGGACTTCCTGTGTGGACAGGAAACAGCACCATGAAGCTTTTATTCTGAAGGGACAGGTCACTGATGTATTGTTTACAGTTTCAAATCTTTTTATTTAGACTTTCAAATTATTGTTATGAGAGGAAGATCAATAAGATTTATTTATGAAAGGAGATTTAATAAAGTCTTGTTGTATCTGGAACTTCATTTTACACTTCTGACCTTTGACCTCACTGTAGTATTTATCCAGCGTCAGCCTCCAGAACACCTCAGTCATCACTGACACCCACACATACGTCACTGCGCTGATCAGCCTCTCCACAAACGTCATGCGGTCACCGTACGGCAGCGGAGCCGCCGGGACGTAGGACGGCGGTGCCGGTGCGTGGCCGCAGTGACTCTCCAGGACGCCACCGAACGAGAAGCGGAGCGAGATAATGAGAGGCAGGTTGAGCATGTCGGCCACCAGGTCGCCGCACATCACCATTGGGTCGAGCAGGACGGCATCAAACGCAGCGTCCCGCAGGGTCGCCATCAGCTGCTCGTTCTTCAATATCGAGTCACACTGTTGCGTCCCCAACTCAATCGACCGCCGCATCCAATCACGCACCTTCAAAAACTTCCTCAGTGGAGAGGAGACGTGAGACTCGTACATGGAGAAGTGGATGAACTCCTCAGTGAGGCCGTGAAGATCGGCTCTGCTGAACGGGACCTGAAAGAGAACCAACATCAGACTCATTAAAAGTCATTAAAAGTCATTGAAACTCATTGAGTGTAGATAATTATTGATAATCAGTTAACCTGTGAGTTAACCTGTGAGTGAACTGAATGTCACCTTGAAAACCAGGAAGTTGAACTTGGCGGCATTGCGGCTGTTGTTGTAGCCGACAGACGGCGAGGCATCAGCAACTAAAACAGTGACAGAGTGGTTCCTCCTCACCAGCTCCTCCATGATGTTCCGCATGTTCAACCAATGGCTGTATTCTCCTGGAAAAACCAGAACGTGGCCAGTGTGAACTGGAGTGTGAGGGTGCAGGAGGAACCAGAGGACGAGGGGAAAAAGAAAAACCTGCATCACGAGTCAGAAAACACAAAGAAAACTGAGAAAACAGCTAAAAGACTGTAAACACAGAACTGAAGATCCAAAGTCCAAACTGGTCAGAGGTTAGTTACAGATAAGAGCTGCACACCACAATCACAGGAACATAAACCCACCAATCACAGACCCTAGTTCACAATTGTTCAATAAAGTTCACCGACAAACGACCTTTGGATCGTCAGCATCGCTGCCACGTAGAGCGCTGCTTCCATGACATATTTCTGTAGTCCAAACAGGAAGTCGTCCTGGTTCCTTAACAGCCAATGGGAATTCATCTGGAAGAATTAGTCTCATTAGAGGCTATTATTAGATCTTTAAAGATGAATACTTTCATACTTGTATTTGGACCCCTGTGACTGCTCACTGCTCTATAAACTATATTTATATTTAATACATCAATTCCAGTCCAATCAGGACATTTTTTTTCTCTTGTTGTGAGTGTAAAGCCAATGTACACACACACATACACACACACACAGAGTTCTCGAATGCTACCAGCGTCTTCTAACATTTATAACTATAATAATAATAATTTATTGATCAGTGAGAAATACTTGACTATTATGTATTGGTATATTTTTAATTTAAACACATATATATGTTTATTATATATATATATTCAGCCATAACATTATGACCAGCAGGGTCTGTGGAAGAAATCCTTTCAAAGTTTCCAAATAAAATCTCCCAGCAGCCCTTTCTTCCCCCGCAGTCCCGTTATTCGTATTATTGCTCTCCAGTAAACAAACATTTTCCCGCTCAGACTCGAACATTTGCACACTAACATGAACAGGATGTGAAATATGAACGCATAAATCCTGTAAACATTCTCTACATTAATAAACATAAAAATATGAATTTATTCAAAAACACACAAAATCCCAAAATGTAAACTTTTATTTCATTAAAACAACAACTAAACATTTTTTTCATTCGACAGAAAAACTTTTTGTATTTTTGTTGACATCACGCTGACATCACTCAGACAGCCAGAGTTTGAAGGTGCGGTCGTAGGAGCAGGTGGCGATCAGTTTCCCGTCAGGCGACACGTCGACGCCCATCACCTGCAAACAACAACAGACGTTAATGTACCCGAGGCGCCTCCACCAATCAGCAGCAGCGTCTGAGAGACCAAACACAGCACGGTGTTTGTACCTTCCCCTCGTGTCCGGCGAGCGTCTTCAGCGGCGTCCAGCCTGGGTGACTCCAAACCTTCGCAGTGTTGTCGTACGCTCCGGTCAACAGGAAGTGACCATCAGTGGCTACACGCAAAACAGGAAGTGAGGTCAGAGACACAAACAGGAAATACAAAGTTAGATATAATTAATAAAGAATAAACAAAAGAAAACAAAAACAGACGAAATAAAAGTACGACTATAAAAAGATCAAATAAAAGCTTAAACACATGAGAATAAAGGCTTTACGTTGGAAGCGGACAGCAGACAGCAGGTTCTGGTGGGCGGGGACTGTGTACAGACACTTCCTGTTCCTCAGCTCCCAAACCTTACAGGTGTTATCACCACTTCCTGTGGCCAGGTGATACCTGAGAGGAAGACAATCATTTATAGAAGAAACTGTTTGTAATAACGAGCAGCAACAGTCGGAAAGAAATAACATATAAATAACATAACACAAACACAAATAACATCTGAAGTTCAAAACTACAAAGGTTAAAACGTTCAAATGTTTTATTTTATTCTCCTCCGTTCTTTTGCTCGTCTCTGATTGGCTATGTGTTTTGTAAGTTCGTCTCTGATTGGCTATGTGTTTTGTAAGTTCGTCTCTGATTGGCTGACCCGTTGGGGGAGAAGTGCAGGCTGTAGATCTCCTTCAGGTGACCCTCGAGGAAAACAACGCAGCGTCCCGTCCGAAGGTCCCACACCCTGCCGAACGAATCCAGCCCTCTGATTGGACGAGAGCAGCAGACAGACGGACAGACAGGTAATTGGTCAAAAAACAGGGGGCGGGGCCAAAGAGACAGTGTGTAGTACAGTGTGTGTA